CCCCGACGCTACTCATCAAAAGCTCAAAGTTAATACGAGAACAGATATCCGATGCAGAGTTCCCTATCACAATGCAACCTCCCGAAATAGAAAAATTATTAAAAATCTCAAATCCACGTATCGCATATTTACAAAAACGACTAATTTATATTTTACATATATCTCTTGTAACTAAAGCAAAATACGATGTTTATAAATTAATACCGTTACCAATTCAGCAAAAATATGACTCAAATAAATTCGCCGTTATACAGCCTAACACAAAATACTTAGCAATAGACGAAGACGCCGATAACTACTACGAACTGAATAAAGAAGATATTACCGAATGTACAGTCCTGAACAAAAACTTCATATGCCCCGCGATATTCCCCTTAAGGAAAATACGGCAGACGCCAAATTGCCACATTAACATAATATTGAAAAAGGAAATCGATCCCAATCAATGCAAAATTATACTCAAAACAATGAAGGACACATATTGGAAAGCGCTATCAATTCCTGGGAATTGGATATACTCCGTATCACACGAAGAGACTTTGGAAATTACTTGCTCAAATTTTCACTCAACGGAAAAGATCAAAGGAACCGGCATTATAACCATTCGTCAAGGATGCAAAATAAAAACGACTTCAGCCACAATGAGCCATTCTACGACGGTAACAACGGAAATTGCAGAATATTATATACCTACAGTAAATCTTGATATTCAAAACCTATACAAAAAAATAGGAAACGTCCTCACTATAAATCTAACTACGGTAACAAACAAATTACAAGGTTCCAATAAGACCTATGATACCGAAATCACCTTCGACGAAATAATCAATAAGGCTAGAGAGATAAGAGAACGCAGAATGCAAGCAAGAGAATCGAATATCTATAATGCAATAACTTACAGTATCGGAACACTAGGAACTATCGCCCTCGCAATCATGGCTATCTATCGCAGACCTTGGATAAGTATATGGAAAAAGAAAGCCTATAGACAATGCTGCTGTAAGAACAAAAAAGATTCCTTACCCTTCTCTAAGCCTAGTAGCAGCTATAAAAATAATGCGTCTACGCCCGTCCCCATAGTACGGAGCGACAACCACTGCATAACGGAACTGTCAGACGACGAAGGCAACAACACCTCACAGGACGACTGCATCATATGCCCTGACGGCGTTCGTAAGTGATATCGTCCAACGATTTCGAGCTATAAGTAATCTTTGGTGTCATCTCTTATAGCTCCATGCAAAGAAAACAACCTAGCCGACACAACCTTTATCGACGACTACAGCAAGCAATTATCCCACGAATGATGAAGAGAACCATCACTTTCCGGCAAGACCTGGACCATGCGGCACAATCAACTCCCACCGATCCAGACGTTTACAGTTCGTCAGGATTTGTACGACGTCCACCCACTCCGCACCCCGAGCACGTCGAACCGGCTTACATATCTATAGAACTTATGACGCGCGATGAAGATCCCCGAAGCATGGAGACACTCCAAGAACTTCTGGATGAGCTCCAAGACGTCGACGCCTCCCATATTCCGCCAAGTAGCCCACGTATAGAACCTCCACCACTAGAGAACATGTCATCTGGAACTCCCCCGATGAACGACGAGATGGCCACGAGACCATCTCCATGCGGTTCTGAAATAGAACACACTTATGTACAGATGAATGGGCGATTAATGCCTTATCAGATAGGAACACCATTACCTCACCCGATACGGGGATCGCCACCTCCAACTGCATCGTCACGAGAAGAAGACCTGCAAATTCCGTCACGGCGATAATATCAACCGCCACGATTCCCGCTGCCCATGCCATTGACCATCTACGAAAACATAATACATCAGACAGCGCCACCACCAGCGATAACAGACCGCCCTTTCGTAAGTCGACCGACAAACATAAACATTCCACAGCGCTCGCCGCCACTCATACCACCGCGCGATATATCCATGCCGATATATTACCGCGACTACGCACACGTAGACGTATTCCCCGCGTATCAACTCATCTGCCACTACACATGGTTTATTCAAATCGATCCCGACACCATTTACTGCAAGAAGTGCGTCACAGACGAACACAATTTCTGCATTATAAATACGCCACGCGTGATCTGGCGTCATCTACACTTATTATCGCGATTCTTTGATGCTTACACTACCCTACACTGCGGACGATGCTATAAATTAATAATAAAAACAAGGCGCGCCATAGATTGTTACACTTGCAGGCGCATCATTATAGATAGGTGCGAAGATTTTGAGCACTTCACATCCAAAATCATTTGCGACACTACCGTTCCCCGTGAATAATTCCACTCTCTATGGATTATATTAGTATCTTACGAATATATAAAAAATATAAATATAAAAAAAAAAGAGAGAGAGAAGAAGAGGAAGAGAAAGAAAGAAAGAAGAGAAAATCCTTTACATATTATCTACTACAAATATTCATTATAATTATATATCAAATACAGATTAATATTAGTATTCTACGAATATATATATATTATATATAAAAAAGGGAGAAGAAGGGGAAGAGAAGAAAGAAAGACAGAAGAGAAAAACCCTTTACATATTATCCACTACAGCTATTCATTATAATTATATACCAGGCACACATCCACCATGCAAATGCTACACTACAAATTGTAATAACATATGTATTTACCCATAATGAATAACCTCCTTAATCGCATAGGTAAAGGTGCAATCTAGGGGGTTCTCTCAAAAATCGATAAAATTATACTCATTCGACGCGTTTTTGCATGAAACGAAAG